AAGAATTTTAAGGCAGGATGATAAATTTTTGTTCATAATATAAAAAGATAGAAATGCAAAGAAAGAGTAGATTATATATTGAATATATTGAATAGATGAACAAAACTTTTATCAATGTGTCTAGGCTTATTGAATGTTCCATTTCTCTTTAATTTATAGTTAAATTGTTTGTAATTTGTGAAATTAATGGCAGGCCAAATAAAATATATTGACTAAAGTACGTCTATTTCATGGCATTAAATTCTAATCAGAAGCATCTTTTATGTAGGGATGAGTAAATCTGATTAATTGCTAACTAATTATTTGACAAGAAAGATACAATTTTTTCTTTTACAAGGAAACTTAAGAGAGTGTATGGTTTTTGCGAAGCTGGGGCCTATGATTTGCTAATGCTCTCCTCAATAGTTTCCAAGGTCTGTTAAGACATTTTTGCATTAGCTTCTCAACTGATGGTAAATGATTAGGCTTTAAATGTAGAGAAAGACAATCTAGATTGCATTGTATAAATTTAAGTCTAAAAAAAGACTGCACTATATAAATAACATAACTATAATAGTTCTAAACAAAGTTACTTCCATATATTTTTACCTTTTACTTTGAAAGCTTGTTTAGCAATTATAAACACTGAAGTTGATGTTGTTGCTATATTTTGACATGATAAATGTACTATTTAATGAACCATTTATCATTATATAGTTTGTTTAAATGATTGTTCCTCGTGATAACTATCTTTTAAATTTATAAGTAGGTCTTTTGGCTTGAAAGTGGTTAGTAGCTAGTGTCTCTAACATATGTTATTACTTCTGCTTCTATTAAAAAAAGTCTATAGAAATATATTGCAGAGAAAGTGTTTGACATCCTTAAGGTTTGTTATATAAATGAGAAATAATTTACTTTGCTTAGCAGTCCTTTATTTATTCCACCTATCCCTCAATAAAGTTAAATGCCACTATTCTATCTATGTTTTTTGATGTGTTAGATGTTTTTACAAAAAAATCTACCAAGCTTCTGTCATTAGCATTGTTCACCTTCATGTCTGAAAATATATTCTTTTTTTAATGCAAAAGAGAGTAGCTTAAGAGCTACTAATGCCCATAGAGTCTTGAGCCAAAAGTGAACTAATCTCATCCGTATCGTTAAACTGGTGTAATCCAGGCCAATATATTTTAAACCTATATTCTACCTTTTATTGCTTTAAAAATTAATTGGACATTTACTTTGGTTAATGATATATGATGGTTTGGAGTTTGTTGGACATCAATTGAAGATCAAGCATGTCTTATGGTTATCCAAGTAGGCTCCTAAATCTTCCATTGATAAAAAAAAAACTTGTTTCTCAACAATTTTTTTATTATTTAATATCGAGGTGTCATATTTATGGTTGTTGCTTTTATTGTATTTTTTTACTTCTTTAATTATGAAATAAGAAGCTTGGAACAAGTTTAATGCAGAAGAGCTTTCTCATATCTCCTAGCTGTATTGTTTTGGGAATCAATAAACCTATCTAGGACAAGCCCCCTTTCTTTCTTAGTACTAACTAACCTCCCAATTGATAGATTGTTGCAAATTGTTATTATATCATTAGGATAACTATTTCTTGGCATCGGTTGGCTAAGAAAACCATCATGCAAAGTAATTTTGATTGAGGATTCTTTGCAAATATAAAAGCCCTTAATAGTCGAGATAGGCCTGCCTAAATTTCAGTTAGTCCCTTCTATTATGCAAATAAGGGCTTATCTGACGTAAAGAAATACAAAGAAAGTTAGTCAGGGAGTCTTTTACATTGTCAGAAGCTTAAAATTTATTTGGTGACATTGATGAGTTACTATAAATGTGCAAGCTTTGGAACTACTTGAATATAGAGACTAGCCTTGAAGATTAAGTTTGAGGCTTTTTTTTTAAGATACATGACATAGAGAATTGAATTAGCCAATTAAGAGCTTATCAGCTCAATATTCTTGAAAGAATGCAAAACTTTTGAGATATGTATAGAAAGATGGTTTGCTGGATCATTAAGGTATCTTATTTAAAATATTGATTTTCTTGTTGATGTCAGAGGAAACTGTAGGGTGTGCTCCATTGGATGCAAGTGGTACAGTGTATGAAAGAGGAGAGTAATTACACATATACATGACTTAAAAAGGAATTATGGTTTTTCGAATTGACGATAAAGATGATGGCAATTTATAGATTATCTCTCATGATATTATCAAATTTTTAGAATTGCATCATGTATAGAAATAAAATGTTGATATCTTTCTTATTCATAAAATCACAATTTTACAAGGTTCTATTGTTATTGTTTCTTATATGAAATTTTTAATCTTGTCTAGATTCCTTTTATTGCGATGTAGTGAAAGCAGGAGCACGTTCAACATGTTGAAAAGTTAACATCATCACGATGAGAATTGGAATAAAGATATTTAATATGAAATCTTTAACCTTGCCTAAAGTTCCTTCACATTGCTTCCATTTTCTTAGCAAAATGCCTTAACATTAGAGCTTGAATTTCTTGAAATACTATGTCAGGGTCTAATGTGCTCAAGTGTAGATCATATCCATTACTTTTAGCTCGCTAAATTACTGTGTTTAATGTTTTATTAATTCAAAATTTTGATAAAATAAAATATCAAATAACTTCAAACACACTCATTTAAACTGCATATATAGAAGATAAAATTATTAAACAAATTCATTCACAAATAGATCTTACAACACGTGAATTGATTTGACAACTTTTAATGCATTTAATCTGTTGTTGTAAATTGATTTGATTGAAACTTTGTAATAAATTTAATTATTTTTATTTTAAAATGTAAAAGATTAATATTTTCTAAATCACAATAACTCTTTGGCGAAGAGAATTGTAACTATATCTATATTTATAAACAGTTTAAAACAAAGTAAACCAAAGAAATATGTATACCGAATTAAGTAATTCTTTTATTTTATGAAAAAATAATTAAGTAATTATTAGCATTGTGAATACAAAATTTACCTTTTAGATGTTTTATTTATAATGATACTAATTTTTATAAGTTATTTATTTTGAACCTATTTCTAAGAACTCAAAGTTTTTCCCTTACAAATAGTGGGAAATTATACTCTAGGACAAAAAGGTGAAAATGCTCTAATTTTTTTTCTCCCAAAAGTATAACAACGTTGTTCTAAAACCTTTTTTAGAATGATGTAATTTTGTTTCCACTATTAACCCATATCACGTTGACCGTTAAATATTTTTCTTAACTAAGATATTGACACATGTCACTCCCTAAACTCATCATCTTCCTTGGTCAAAATATGTTCCCTGACCACTCCCTCCCCCTAGTGGTGGAGCCACATTTAACTCGGGGGCACCTCAACTAGGAGTAATCAATATGTGTGATGAGGAGAAGAGAGTTTAAATGCTAAAAGTCATGTCACATGAAAAAAAAAAGAACTTGTGCGCCATACATGATTTGTTTGCCGTATTGTGTTTGGCAAAAACGTCACTCAACTTGCAATAATCACATTATTTTTATTCATTTTACAAAAAGACTCTTTATTTTATATTAAAAATATAAATATTTCTTCTTCTTTTTCTTCTTCTGGATATTGCACACCTTACACTCATTATTTGAAAGCCACCTAGTCTTGATTTATATCTAAATATACTTGATTTAAATAGGCTTTTCATGTATACTATATATATGTGTGTGTTTTAGAACTTATAACCTAATAAACTTTAAACATAAATTGTAAACTCACTAACTTGAATATATCATTTTTTATTTTTATTTTACATATATCAAATAAGAAATCTTCACAACAATTTTTAAAATTATTTATTTATTTTACCTCAAATTCAATGTTTTTTTTAACATGAAATCACAACTTTAAGATATGAAATAAAATTATTAATTATTAAAAGTTTTTTTTAAACATTGTTAAATTATATTGCACCTTCTGAGCTAGTGTCCTAGTTGCCTCTACTCTCTCCCTTCCCTTCCTTTTTATTTTCTTTGCATATCTCAATCGAGATTCCCTAAACGTCAAGAATCTAACCTTTTTGTTGTACTTGTAGATTTAAAACCATAATTTTGGTGAAACTAAACATGAATCAATTTTAAATTTGATACCATAATTAAGTTATTTTTCTCCTGTATGTAATAATGAGAAACACGGAGAATGCATAAAAGAAAAGGTGAAGATGGACTTTAAAATGGGAAGAAATTCATAGATGGCCTCCTAATTAGAAGTAATGAGGTTCACCTTCATTTTGAACATAGTAGATGGTGAGAATCATGTTTCACCATAATCAATTTCAATCTCAAATCTCTATGCTTCCTTTTCCAATTCTTCTTTGGCTTACTAAAGTTCTCACTACTCTTGTATAATGAGAAAGTTGAAGTGGCCCTTGGTGCATCTTTGACACTCACAGGATGGTCTTTCTAGAAGCTTTAGTTGAACCTGACACCTTCTAGTATCGCCTTCTTTGGCTTCCTCCTACACTCTCATCATGTCCAATATCCTTTACACCTTCTCTCTAGCCCTTTTGCCTCGCACCTTTACCTCCTTCTTTAACACCTTCACAACCTTTACTGACATCACCACTGCTTTAAACCTTGACTTGTCACAACTCAGTGCATACACCACCGTCATGTAGCTCTCCTTAGGTTAACTTGGAATCCAAATTGCTATTGCTTAAGCACTCCACCACTTGTGCATCTAATATCACTCTACCCTCTCATCCCCACAAGATAATAAGTTGCATATTATTTGTGACGTCCACCGCCATGTGTGAGAGAGAGAGAGAGGAGAGCTATGAAGAAGAGAGAGGGAAGAAAATGCGAGGAGCAATTAGTGTCATTTCAACAAGAAATTTAAGTGCAAACAAATCAAAATCATTCGAGCCTTATTTGCAAATATGTCTATCCTGAGGGCCTGATTGCAATTCTCCCTTTTTTTCAGTACTAAATGATACCCGGGATTAATATGATATAAATAATTCGCACATGAGAAGCCAGAGCTCCGAGAGCTGCCGCATCAAGGCTCCTAGCCTTCTACTGCCTTCTATCCGCGCTTGACGGCCTCAAATCGGATCCCATCTTTAAGCTCTTCCACGCAATTTGTTCCTCTCGTATTGTGGTTGTATCGCAATCTGGGCGTAACTTCGGCTGCGATCGATTCGCCATGGGAGACTACAACGATGCTTGCTTTCATGCGCAACCAAAACGCCGCCGTGCAGGCTCGGACCAAAGCTCAGAACCGTGCCAACGTCCTCCAGCTCAAGCTGGTCTGATCTCATTTTCATTCTTATGTTTATTTTGAGATCCTCGCAGTTCCTTTTCTGGAAAAACGAAATAATCCATCGCCAAGGCTAGGGTTTATCGCTGCTGTTTTCTCACAATCCTTGATCCTAACATCTGAACTGTTATGATGTGTTGATCTGCTGCAATTTCTTCGTGATTCGAAAATTTTTCTTGTCATTTTCAGTAAGTTAATTGGTTTGTTTCTGAGGGTAAAAGGTTCTTCCTATCTACTCCTGTGCACTGATGGGATTGACTATGCGGGGCTCAGAGTTAATTTGTACTGTAATAAAACAAATACGCTTCGCTTGTTCCAAAAACTAGTAGCTTCCCTAATCATGCAGCTAGGTCTTAAATACGTTTGTTAATGGTCTGATGTCTTTCTGTGTATTATTCGATTGCATCACAGATCGGACAGAGTCATCCAACTGGTCTCACGGCTAACCTTTTGAAGCTGTTTGAGCCTAGACCTCCTTTGGAGTATAAACCACCTCCAGAAAAAAGGAAATGCCCACCACTAACAGGTATTTAATCATTTTCTGTTTGTTTCTCTCCTGTTCGGCTTCAGTTTTAGGCTTTATTTGATGTTTTTATATGCCTACCTTCTTTATAACCCCAGGGATGGCACAGTTTGTGGGTAAGTTTGCTGAACCTGGAGATCCCGAATATTCTCCTCCTGTCCAAGAAGCTGAAACTCCTGTAATGTTTGCTTCTTCTGAGATTAAATACTTATGTATACAATATTTATGTTAAATATAACTTCAGTATTGTGTTTGGATGCTGCATCTGACATCCTTTCTTTCAAGAGGTTCGGTGTTATATATTTGTGATTGTGTAAAATTGTTGCTAATTATTTTGTAAGCTAGTTCTCCAGTTGCGAAGCTCTGAATTTCCTCTAGAATCACATGTGATGGAATGAAAATTTTGCTTCTTCTCTAGAGTGCTCTTCATGATTTGTCTCTTTGTTCCGCTAAGATTTCATCGCTACAGTAAATTTATGATAACTACAAATGTTAACAAGTACTCCTTCTGTCCTTGATTATAAGACAATTTGACACAAAAATTATGCATACTAACAAAGTTTAATAATGACACTTTACGGACTTACTTTTTCAAAATAAAACTAAACTCTAAACATGCCCTTGCATTCTTAATTATTATGCTACAATATCATTTCAATTCTCTGGGTGATATTGGAAAAGCATTATTAATGAAACCTTTGTTTTTTCAAATTGTCTTATATTTTGGGACAACATATCTCTAAATTTGTTTTATAATTTGGGATAGAGGGAGTATTTATTAATATGAACTTTTGTGGAGTTTGTTACTTTCGATCTATTTACTTACTATCAGGCTATGATTTGCACTTCTGAATTCTACATTTTAAGCTTTACAAAGGGGAAAGCTCTGCAACTGTTTTTGTTTGTTTGTTTAAACTGTAGCAATTACTGTTTCACCACATAGAACATTTTTCTCAAAATTTTAGGACTTGGGGATGATACAAAGTGTTGTGTTTTGTATAGCTTCTGTATGAACATTTTTATGTCAGCTATAGCAGTTTAATTGAGTAAACCATGATCACCCTTGGCCTTAACTAAATTTTTATCAGCTGTGAAATTGTTAGTAAATACATGTGAGAAAGGCTCGTTAATTTATAATGTTTAGGAAACTGACATGGTTCTAATTTACTGGTTTTTTTTTTTTTAAATTTGGTACAGCTAGTATATAACAACTATGTTGTATGTGTTAATATAGCATGATAGCAAATATGAGAACAGGGAATATTCTTTAGATCTGCATACATTGTTAATCCATTTCTTGTAATGCAGATGCAAAGAAGAGCTAGGATACACAAGCTAAGATTAGAGAAGGGAGCAGCAAAGGCTGCTGAAGAGCTAGAAAAATGTGATGAATCGTTCATTGATATGACATTTTTAGTTTTTGTGGCTTCATGTTCCTTGTTTGTTTTTCCTTATATCTGCTTTTTTGCAGATGATCCACATAATGACCCAAATATTTCAGGAGATCCCTACAAGACCTTGTTTGTGGCTAGACTTGTAAGTTATGCCTCAATACAGTCTTGATGCAGCACTTCCTTTTAAAGCATCACTTGTTGAATTTCGTATCTGATTGTTACTAACTTTTCCTAGAGTTATGAGACCACCGAGAGCAGAATCAAAAGGGAGTTTGAGTCATATGGTCCAATCAAACGGGTAGGTATTTTTGAGTATTGCCAAAGGAGTTCGGTAAGAGTTTCCTATATTTTAGGCATTGTAATTAACTTCTTGGCAGCATTTGAAGTTATGAATCCTAGATATGTGTTATGCCCATCTCAACAAATCTTTTATATGCAAAAATAAATACATGTGCGTGTTTTGTATTTTGATTATAAATAAAATGGAAGCTTTTCTGGTTGTAGACTTCTTCTTCATTAATTTGCCAGTGAAAAATCATAACTGTTTTAGTCATCATGATGAGGTGCCTTGTTGTTCATGTTACTGAAAAGAGAAATGCTTCAGTATGAACTTCTTGCTACTAGAGTGGTTCTCAAGGCTTAGTAGTAAGCTGGTTGCTATAATGTATAGCTTCTTCAGAGTTTCTACTTTAGTGTTAGTTAATCAGTTACTTGTAATACATAATTTTTACTTCCACATAATTTATAGACCAATAGTTATTGATAAAAGGTCTTCTTGGGGCTAGGGTATGTTTAGGGATTATTTAGCATTAAGTTAGCTTCTCAACAAGCATCCCTGGTAAGGGGGAGATCATCCTTTTCAACAAATGGTAAATGATTCTTAAATTTCCACCAAAACCACTCAGTTTCAAGTGCTTCTTCCTGCATGGCATAGCTGAATATTTTAGTTGGACGGAGCATCGATGCAAAATTGTGCCTTTTGGCCTTGTTTTCGAGCAAGAAAAGGAGACTGACAACTTCTGTTCTTTTCCTGCACTGGGTAAATTATGTTGGGAGTATTGCCATCTCCTCCTCTGCTGTTTAAATTCCTAGTTACCATGCTTTTGATGTTGCTAAATCTTATCTTTCGCTCTAAAGGCTGTCAAAAACAATTCGGCAGTTGAGAGGATGTCATGGTATATTTTATATTATTTATAGTTTTCCTTTCTATCATTTTAAAAAAACAAACATCCCTGGTAAGGGGAGTCTAGTCAACAAGTGGTTAATTGGCCCCATATACATCAGTTTTTCTGCAACTAGTGCTGGTGGTGATGCATCTCGCGATGGGAGCTGTGTGATTTAAAGGTGAGCACGGCTAATTAGGCATAGTGCCTGTCTGCCGTGCCATTTAGGATTATGTATACAATTAGTATTTTTCTTCTGGTAGTATTTTAGTTAATTCTGAAGTGAGAAAGTATCTTATATTTTTTCCTTGTGACCAGAATTTTCTTTTCTGATTGTGTTTTCTTTTTCCTTTTTCTTTTCTTTTAACACAGGTTCGATTGGTTACAGACAAAGACACAAATAAGCCCAAGGGTTATGCATTCATTGAGTACCTGCACACAAGGGACATGAAAGGTCTATACAGTGGTAAATTGATTTCTCTTACTTCATTATATGTAGCCTTTCAAACTCATTTTCTGTTCATCATGCAGCTGCTTATAAACAAGCTGATGGTAGGAAAATTGAGGGTAGAAGGGTACTTGTGGATGTTGAACGTGGAAGGACTGTTCCTAATTGGCGACCTCGCCGACTAGGTGGTGGGCTTGGTACTACTAGAGTTGGGGGTGAAGAAGTTAATCAGCGGAACTCTGGGAGGTAAGTGGATTGATTGCAAATTTTTTGTTATGTGTTGTCAATTTATTCCCTTGTTGGATTTATCTAATTGAATGGATAATAAGTGGAAAAGGTAATTGTATTGTCATTTTATTCTTTGTTATGTATGAGGTTTTGGAATCTTGTTAGGTAATTAAATAAATTTGTAGGTGTTATGTTCTACATCAATAGGCAACACACTTGGTTAATTTGTTGACTGTCAAATTTAGAGCATGCTGGATGCTTTCTTTTTGTCTTGAAGTGCAATTTTGAATGTCTTCATTTCCCAGGGAACAACTGCAATCTGGACCCTCTCGATCTGAAGAACCAAAAGTGCGGGAGGAACGACAGGTTGATCGGTAAGCTCTCACATTGGATTTATGAAGTTGTAATTGGTTTTGGTTTCTTGTGCTCAGTCACTGTCTGCTAATCACTTATTTTTTGAGAAAAAGTTAAAGAAAACGGTAAGGAGCTTTTAAATTTAAAGCTGTCCTGTTGTAGTTGTTTTAACATCGGCCACTTTGAATAATTATTTGTAAAATTTTCACCAAATCAGTCATGAGCATGAACATACACTTTGACTGATGATAGCTGAGATGGTTTTAGGGATAGAGAAAAATCTCGTGAAAGAGGTAGGGACAGAGATAGAGAACGGGAGCGATCACGAGAACGCTCTCATGATAGAAGCCGTACTCGGGATCACAGGGAGGATAGACATCACAGAGATCGGGATAGGACTAGAGATAGGGAAAGGGAAAGAGATCGTGGTCGTGATCGAGATAGGGATCGTGGTCGTGATCGGGAGCGAGGACGTGATCGTGATAGGGAGAGGGATCGTGATCGTCATCGTGAAAGGGATAGGGACTATGAAGTTGGGGACCTTGAACGTGGACGCTCGCACGATAGGGAGTCTGATTATGATCGTTTGGATTCTAAAAATGAGAGGGACCGGCATGGGGAAAGGGAGCGAGACTATGAACCCGAGGATGATCGTCCATGGTACAATCAACTTGAGCATGGACATAGGCATGCAGATCCTGATGGTGATGCTGAGGAGTTCAACCACCATGAGCACCATCAAGCACGAGGGCATTATGATCGTGGAGAAGGTGACCATTATGATCAATATCCTGACCGTGATAGGTTGGAGGATGACTACCACAACGAACATACAACATCTGAATCTCGTGACCGGGAGAGAAATCGTGATGTGGATCATGAATATCATCGGTCAGAGAGGTCTCATTCTCGAGAGTACGAGTACTAGTGCTCAAAAGCATATTATCTCTGTACTTAATGGTAAGACCCATGGTTTGCATTTCAGCGTTCCTCAATTCAATCATGATCATTTGTTGACGTGAATCTTAGTATTAGCATTTGACATGTTTGAAATAAACTCCAGGTATGGAATGATCATGGCACAACAGGAAAACTTAGTTGCTCTGCTATCATCTGCGCGAAATAATTGATTCTGGATTTCTGATGTCCGTGTTTGAAGGCTTTATTGCTGTAGTTTAGTTATTAGTTTCTCAATGTTTGGTGTTTTGAGGATAGGATTGAACTGATGATGCTGGTGCTTATTTTGGGTTTTGATGTCTTCTCTGCAGACGTTTAAGAAACAGAAGAGGGTTTATTGTATTTGTGGTGAACAATCGTCTGAGTCTTGTATTTTCATGGAGTTGGTTTGTGTGTATGCTTGGAACCATCCTTTTGGTTGAACGGGTGAAGCATCAATGTTGTTTGCACATAGAGCGACCATCATTGAATTTGTGCATGCGCTTAATTCATGATTCTATTGCGTACATTGGAGCGCCGGTGAGAAAGTGATGGCATTATTACGTGCGAAGCCCTAAATTAGGGCGAGGAGGGTCAGAATTGCTCTGTCTTTCGAATTATTCTAGGGGTTCTCTTCAATTTCATCCTTGTCATTAAGTTTTAGCGCTGAGCGCGTGAAGGATATTTTCGAACTTTTGAACGTCGGGTGGTTACCCTTCCCCCGTAAAATGGTTGTACTTTTTGTATTTTTTTTCGAGTTGACCAGCTCCTCCGAAAAATGGTTAGATGATACAAAAATCTCAATTTCATGCGCAAACTAGAGCCTTTTGACGGCATTTCAAATTAGATGTTTCGCACAACGTATGGGTTTATTATTATAGAATTAAATCTCGTATAAATACTACGGCTTTTCTAAGTAGATTTTGTTTATACTATATTTTGGCGTATTGATTCATTGCATCTCATGATGACTATACTCTGATTGGAGCAAACAGGTTTGGATTTGGACCAAATTTATTATTTAGGTAGATAAAAATTTAGGAAAAATAATTCAGAATCTATGATAATAGTAATAATAATTACAGACTTTAAATTATAAAAATTTTAATAATAGATTATGATTTTTACTCGCAACAAAATTATGATTTGAAATTAATAACAAATTTTGATAAATTCATAATAAATGATATAATGATTTTTAATTATTTTTTATTAATTTTTCAAGTAATGATAGAAAATTACAAGTAAATAATTTACAATTCATAACTTGACTCTTGTAACGTTGTAAATAATTTTAAATTTTATAATTGACTTTGATAAATTTTTAATTAATATTATAAATAATCTTAAGTGTACTTATTTAATTTTTTAAGTTGTTTATCTGCATATTGACAATAAAAAATTGAGATGTACAACTAATTCTTGTAAATTTTTTACCAATGTTACAAATAATTTTTAATATATTTAAAATATTTCTCAACTAATTATTTAAATTATTTTAATGGCAGGTAAGGGTAATAGTCTTTTATTAAGATATCAATAATTTAAGGTCTATAATTGTCATTCTTATAGGGTCTCTAATAGTCATTTTTCAAAAATTTATGAATTTAGGTTAATCCCATTTCAAGTAAATTTTATTTTTATTATTATTCAGAATTTATAATTTCAGATTTTCATTCTAATTTAGTTACTTTAAATATGAACACTAACTGGAGAACTCTGGCAAAGGTGAAACCTTATGCCCGACAGAATCATATCTTGGAAAAAGACGATAGGATCCAGTGAAAAGACCATCTGGCATTGAATCCTCGTCGTTTCCTGTTGCTCAGTCGCGGTTCGTCTCCGCTCTGCCTGGATTGGAGCTGTGAGCCGAAAAAAATTACCAAGAAAGACCGGTCGTTTGGGGGTTTGCGGGTAGTCGCCGTTATAATCAATTAATTATAATATAACGGCATTATATACTTCTTTATATAAATTAAATAAGTTAAGGAAAAGAACATCCTAGCAACATGAAATTGTTGCAGTGCTCCATGCTAGCAATCACACCACTGCCTTGCCTTCAAAATGTTTCCTTGCTGAAGTTGTGAGTGCCTTGTAGTATGCTTTCGCCAAATCAACACGTCCCACGTATTTCTCACATACTAACTCCAGCAACTGTTTTAGTGTGTTTTTTTTTTTTTTAACCAAGTTAATCCATTTATTAGAATCCACGTCCTCCGAAATTTATCCTTTAACCCGAACCAAAATGGGATTTCACGGCCACCAAAACGGGTTCAAGAAAAACCGAAATCAAGTATTAAAATTTAATTTTTTTTATAACATTCAAATAAAATAATGGTAGAAAATAAAATAGAATGTTACGATGGATGTGTGGACATACACGTAAAGATAAAATTCGAAATGAGCACGTACGCGAAAAAGTGAGGGTAGCACCTATTGAGGAAAAAATGGTAGAAAATCGGTTGAGATGGTTTGAGCATGTACAAAGAAGACCAAGGGAGGCACTAGTGAGAAAAGTGGAACATATAACTTTGAGTCCGATTAAGAGAGATAGAGGAAGGCCTAAGAGAACACTTTTGGAAGTCATTGAACGCGATCTGTTAGTTAATAATATTCCTAAAAGCTTGATAAATGATAGAGTACAATGACGTCTTACAATACATGTAGCCAACCCTATCTAGTGGGATAAAGATTTGTTCTTGTTGTTGTTGTTGTTGTTGTTGTTGTTTATTCAAATAAAATAAATAAATAAATACAAGACACAACCACATTTTAAAAGGAATAACATTTTTCTTTTCAAGACAATTTTTAGTTTGATCAGCAGTGGAAAAGGTTGATGTTACTTGGTGTCATTGTTTTGTTACAGTTTTGGAGATAATTTTATTTTGATGAAAAGTAAAATGCTAAGACCACTAAAATATCATAGCTGGAGGGCACAACTAAAACCGCATCCGACATTGTGACATTGTCATTAACTCATTGTTGACATGTTTTTAACACAGCTGGAAAAAAAAAAAAAACGCTCATTCAGCATATCTGATGCGGTGTAACTGCGATAAAATTGGAGGCCATAGTCACTAAAAACAAACAAATTACCAAATCAGGAAGTAGCCTGTATATGTTTAGTGTATTTTTTAGTTGGTTTTTACTATTATGAAAAAGCGAGAGAAAATCCAAAATCAGTGGAAATTGCCAAGAAATTTCTTGGCTTTGCCATGTGTACCGGCTCAAAATCCGTGTAAGTTGATTAATTATCCTGGAGGGATAAATGCTTGAGTCTGAAGCTTCTCACTGCTCACTAATTGCTTCGAAAATAAAGCTTAACGATTCTTGTATGAAATTTCCTGGAACATACGTTGGCTAGTTTCTTGTGGTAGATCCCAGAGTTTCCCCTGTTATTATCATAAGTTGTCGTTTGAAAGAACTTGCCTGCTGAAAGAGCCCTCGAATAACGCACTATATGGGGATAAACAGTAGAGATGAAAGCGGGCTGAGTTGAGCCCAATCAAAATTAGGACCTTGCTTCCGCGAAACTTCAACCAGTAGGCACTTTACAATAAGACAACCAGCGTTGCTGCCCCTCTTCCAAATATATCTGTCGCTTCATATGCATGTTCACTGTGCTCTTTTGTACCAAACCAAGTTAACCTAAATTTTATGCTACTTATCATGTCACTTCTAAATCATAGCAATGAGTGGGAATCCACATATTGGTCATTATGTTCATATAAATCGTGTTAATCTAAAAACGTTTTTTCCCCAAAAGGAAAACCCTCGCTGTATATACATTGATGCCCCCAGCCTCCCAGGAAAACTAACAATTTTTTTTTTAAAAAAAAAACACGCACTTTATTTTAGTTATATATTCTTAATTAAAATATTTTTTTTCATGAAACAAAGATATAAAAGATAATCATCTAATTAAAAGTTAAATTAAATTTTACATGCAGTGTATCAATCAGTTTCATAACAGACTTGTTCAAAATTCTAAAGCGACCGATCATGCCTATGGTCTTGTTCAGTTGTTTGCTGCACAGCTTTTCAAGCCAGCAATCACTAATGGGTGCTTGTATGTATGATAAAATAATTTACAACTAGTCACAAATCATGAAGAATTCCACGCATTTTTCAGATTGAGGCAACATATCCAATTACTGTATGAGAAAATGTTATGGTGAGTATGATATATTAAAAGAAAAACAATCTATTTCTCTATCATAAAAATTAGGATATGTAATACATATTATTGTTTAATGGTAATTTTTTATTTAACCGTAAAAATATTTTTTAGTTTTAAAATCCTTTTCATGTATCTTTTTATTTTCTTTTATGCACAAAACGGTCCAAAAGCCCCCACCTCCAAAATATATATATATATATATTCTTCCGGAAAATTGGATAGCGTGATTCACTGATGCCAGAGAAAACAAGACAGAAAGAGCACATTTATTATTATAAAGACACACACTGGCAGAAGTACTCAAGTGCATTTCTCACTTCTCGCAATTTCCTAACCTCCACCATGCTTGTAAAAGCGTAAACCAGTAAGCAGTGGAAAAGAAAAACCCAGGGGAGAGGAGAAGCATCATATTCAGCATTGTAGTCTAAACTCGAAACTTCATCCATGGCTATACAAGTGAACCAGAAAACTTCGAGAGCAGCAGCACAAGCAACATGGGTTGTATTATGGAGCCTAATCATGATCTGCAACATCACTTTAGCCGAGAGAATTATCCAGGACAAGAAATCAGACAGTCTTGTCGAGAGAGATGATGAGAGAAGTGGTGTTCTAGCTAGAGTGATTCAATTCATGTGGCAGAATGATAGGTCTTCCTACGAACCTGTCTGGCCGGTGAGTTCATCAGAAAATATTTGCATGCCATGAGCTTGCAGCATCTCGTTAGACCATACAACTGATCATTTAGCTATTTTTATTTGGAATCTAATGTGTTTTTTTCTTCAACTCTAAAGATGCATGGTGCTGGTTGTTTCTGCAGGAGATGAAGTTTGGTTGGAAAATTGTAGTAGGATCAATCATTGGGTTTTTCGGAGCAGCTTTAGGCAGCGTTGGAGGGGTAGGAGGTGGAGGCATTTTCGTCCCTATGCTCACTTTGATCGTTGGTTTTGACCCTAAGTCTTCCACGGCAATTTCAAAGTGTTAGTACTGTTCTCTGGGATTGTCATGGATGTGAATGATCAGAATGTTCAGTAAATCGACGTGTTCCCATGCATGCAGAGTTGTTTTGAATATTGTTATGTGATTTTGCAATGATAGGTATGATCATGGGCGCTGCTGGATCAACTGTATACTACAATCTGAGGCTTAGACACCCAACGTTGGAGATGCCACTTATAGATTATGACTTAGCTTTGCTCTTCCAGCCTATGTTAATGCTTGGAATAAGCATCGGTGTCGCATTTAATGTCATGTTTGCTGATTGGATGGTCACGGTTTTGCTTATTATCCTGTTCTTAGGTAATATTCTCCTGTCTTCTTTAAGCCCGTTCCGTTATGCTCCCCCCCCCCCCCAATATCTTATAAGAGAGCTACACAAATGCTGTTTCTCTCTTTCTGAGATTCTTAATTTCCTTTTCTTTTATTTCTCCACAAGAAACCAAAGAAATGATTTTATTTGATTTTTACTCGTTAAATTTTCGTTGCCGGCATAATGTAAGTGTAACATGAGCTATTAGCATTTGTGTATATATTCATGATGTTCAATTTGGATTAGTTGATTCTCAACGTAATATAATTGATTGTAGGTACATCAACAAAAGCTTTATTCAAAGGCATAGACACGTGGAAAAAGGAAACGATGATGAAAAGGGTACAATTACTTTTATCCTGCACTTAAAAGCTTTAGAATGATCAGTCTCCTATGTCCCCTATTGACTATAAGAATTAATGTGCTAATTGATTTTGATCAGGAAGCAGCCAAGCTGATTGAATCAGAGCCTAAACCAGGTGATAAGTCCTCATAAACGTGCTTATATAAGAGAAAAGTATCTGAAAACTAGGGCAAAAGTTGACTAAAAAATTGTCAGAAACCAAGTACTATTGAAGACTACATTGTAATGATATAAGACCTTTCATATCAGAATAATGGAATCCGTACATGTTCGTTTCCCAGTTGAAAAAATATTTGCATCTTGAAGTTCTGCAAGTGACAGCGTCTATTTAATTAACATGGAAAGAAAAAAATACTCTCTGTCAAGTAAAAAAACCAACCTGATCTCGTTAAGTAGAATTATGGGGTCCATTGCTGTGAGACCCACATGAATAAACGTAGGTAGAACCTACAACTATATTCTTATATCTTTTAGATCCATCCTATATTCTTATATCTTTTAAACCCATCCCTTTCAAGTCTTTCAAGAGAATCCAAATTCTAAAACAGCATTCTACTTACCAAATATTTCGAATGCCTGCCCAGAGGAATATAAATCACTACCAGCTGGCCCGGCTGACGCGCAAGATGAAGAGGTAATTCCAAGCGTCATTTCGAATCATTTCTCATCGCAACTTTGCTGTATTCTTACCTAGTTTTATCAAACTGTGTTCAGGTCTCTATAATGCAGAACATTTACTGGAAAGAAGTAGCACTCCTTATGTACGTTTGGGTAGGCTTTCTCGTCGTTCAGATTGTCAAGGTAAGCAAGCTATCAGTACCCTCAACAACTTTTTCCCCTCTTTAATTCATAAATCATCCATAAAATGCTGCTAACTTTCAACTTTCAACTTTCAACCTCCAATTTTGCGGTATCGGTTTTATACTAATTCACTCAAAGTTTACGTTCTTCCCTCGAGTTTACTGACTAAGTGACTATCTTTTTCTGCTCATGCAGACATACACTGAAAATTGTTCCGTCACGTACTGGATTCTTAATTCCTTGCAGGTAAATTAGCATTCAAGATCAACACATTAGGCACTCCCTGCAGGGAAAAACTAGGCAATTAGCAGTAGTTTGCGTAACGCGTGTTGCTCCAAGAACTAATCAGAGGAATGACAACTTTTTTTTTTTTTTCGGTAACTTTTTTAGGTTCCCATTGCTATATCTGTGACGCTTTTTGAGGCCGTATCCCTTTTCAAAGGAAAAAGAGTGATTGCTTCGAAGGGAAAAGAAATAACAGTTTGGAAGGTCCATCAAATTTCTCTCTACTGTTCTTGTGGGATTATAGCTGGCATGGTTGGTGGGTTGCTTGGTCTTGGAGGTGGTTTTATTTTGGGACCACTCTTTCTGGAAATGGGAATTCCTCCTCAGGTATTGACTAAACCATTCTCGTGCACTTAGTGATCTTCAAGGTTCCCAAAAGAACATCAACAGTTTAACGTGAAAAATTAAGGCCAACACGTGTTTTCTCTGTCGCAGGTTGCAAGTGCCACCTCAACCTTTGCTATGGCTTTCTCGTCCTCCATGTCAGTGGTGCAATATTATATTCTGGATCGCTTCCCAGTACCCTATGGTAAGGAGAAAAATAAAATAAAGCCAGAACAAATCCTACTAGCCAGGTTGATGAAAAAGAAAGAAAAACTAGCAGCGAAGCGCATACACTAAAATATTACCTCACAAAAAATGAAAGCTTAAATCTCTGTCACTTTTCTCTTCGTGTATATTTATTGGATTTAAAATGTAAATAAATCCTAAACTCACAACCCTGTATTGAAATTTCATTCGAAAAATCAAGGTAACAGCTCATTGATGATTTTGCTATAACCCGTGAATACTCATTGCCGTCATAGCTTATTTTTCTCTTCTTAAACGTCATTTTTTGAGTTTGGTCAAAAAAAAAAACGTCATTTTTTGAGAGGAGCAGATATTATTTTGGTTTACTTGTCGTCATTTGACGTCAAAAGCTGTGAAACTCACTGATTTTTTTTTTTTTGGGGTTGGGGGGGGTAATGCTCTTTGCTGCAGCTTCATATTTTGTGCTGGTGGCGACCGTTGCTGCATTCACTGGGCAGCATGTGGTGAGGAGGATCATTGCAATCCTGGGCAGAGCTTCCATAATCATCTTCATTCTTGCACTCACTATTTTTGTCAGCGCTATAAGTTTAGGTACTTTCTTTAATCCCCATAATCTTTTTTTTTGAATGTTAATTCAGAGATTCTCGTTGGCTCATGTCCTGTGGGTGGGTGTGTGTGTAACAGGTGGAGTGGGAATAGAAAGCATGGTTGAGAAGATGGAAAATAAGGAGTATATGGGGTTTGAGAATCTCTGTCATCATACTTAGGCTTATTTCGCGTTTCTGTGGCTCTGGAAATTTTCTCTGGACGACAATGTTTCAGACATGGTAAAACCGTCATCCATTTGTCCGTCTTCTTCAAGCAAAGAAAAGGCTCTGCAATATTTATGTAATTTACTTTTGTTTTGTTTTCATTTCTTTTGTAGAATCTTTTTGCACTTTGTTCATTAAATGTCAACTAAAAGTATAAATAAATGGTTATTTGAGACCTGTGATTGGAGTCATATTGAGCATCATATGAGTGAAAATCAGACAAGGCATACTGTTTTTATAGGTGACAAATTTAAACAGCGCGTAGATCTAGGTAGCATGAAGTTGTGGAGCTTGAAAAAAAATTCCGTCTTCCAGTTTGTATGGGCTTACACATCGATGAAAGGGGCCACATGGAGCCCAATGACATGTCTTGGTGAATCCGAGACCTTGCTGCATCTGATTACTTTGCTTGTTAGTTGTTATTTTCTTGCATGGAAAGTACCTTATCAGATACAATATTGATGCTGATGATTGATAATCTTCGTAATAGATGTGGGTATAGGGATATACTGCAGCAATTTTAACTGATATCTTTTGACATTGTACAACGATATTGTTTTGATTGGTTTATGAGAGGCAGTTGAAATATTGCTCATTTCTAAGTAACTATAATCTGTGTCTTGTGAATCACTAGTTTATTAGTGTTATCTTTGAAGCTCAGCTTCTCGTGAATATAAACGTGAGCAAACGTGGATGTCACCCTTTGGTTTAATTTATATACCTTTCGTTTATTTTTGACCCCAAAAAAAAAAAAAGTTTATCCAAACTTTGGTGAGTCATGCGTGATCATGAACTGGATTCCCAACTTCTCGCACAGTTCATATCGAATAGTTGATTTTCCAGAAAGAAAAAAGTTACCAGAAGATTGAACCAGACTTTTAATGTTAACGATCAAAATAATAATTTAATATTTTTTTCGCATGAGAACAACAACTTAATTTTAATACGATGCTTTTTTAATTCAAGAAGGCAAATCTCTACTACCTGATTCACTTTCCAGCACATTAGTTTTTTTTTTTTGGTGCCCATCAACTTGTTCAGGCACTTCAAAAAGCGCTTTGATCGAGGTTCGATGGAGAACCAGGTGTTCCAGTCCCGATGGGATGAAACGAACCACGAGGAGTCGCTGTGTCTGGGCACGTCCGGCCAAATGGGCCAAAACTCGAAAATAATTAAAAATAATTTGTATAATTAAAACAGTAAAAATATTACTAATTTTTTAATATTATTCTAACTAAAATTAATTTATCACAATTACCTATAATTTTTTATACAATCCCTCTACAGTACAATTAATAATTTTTATAAAAAATGTTCTATATTGCATACCAGAGGAATGTAAAATAAATATTATACAAATATAGATATTATATTATATTTTTTTTCATTTCAAATTATAAAATATTTTTAATTATTAATAAAATTTATTAAATATATTTTATAATATCACTTTTTCAAGATAAAAATATAAACTTTTAAAAATACTTTTTATTTAATATTTTATTGATGAAATAATATTGAAGAAAGATAATATATAAAAAAGATAATATTAAAAAATTTTATTAATAAAATTTTATTTTTATCAAAATATTTTATGTTTTAAAATGTTAATTTTTTTAAAAAATATTCTATAATTTAAAACTGAAGGGTACTATTATATCACTCATAAATAGCAGATTGGGAGCCTATGACTAGAAGTCTACAAAAATAATAACTGCTGTGAGGAAGCGTCCAGTCCCGTCTTTGTGGGGAAGCCCACCCCACTCTCTAAATGAAAAAAATGAACTGTCTAAATTTGGTTTTCCCTGTAATTAAGGCCACAAGACGAGGGCAATTTGTCTAGTAGTCTTTCCCGCCCGTTAAAAGCTTTTTTTGCTTCTGGTTCCCCCACTCCCTGTTGTTATTCTTCTCCAGCTTCCGTCGTCCAATTCCATCTTCTCTGGCTTCTCCCGTTGGGCTTCCATTCCTCTTTGATTCAAGAAAGAAGAAGCCCTTTCTGTTCAAATCGCACATTTCCTTCCTCCTTTTTTCCGCTGCTATTGCTCCACTATTTCTCTGTCAGGTATTTTCGCCGGTGCAAATATTACCCCCTAGCACTCTTGCTGTTGAACGATCGGAGCGTGTGTCCTCCGACTTCCTTTTTCTTTCTGGCCTTTTTGATCTCCTGTGGACATTTTCTTGTGTTGTTTGTTTGTTTTAGGGCTCAGAATGGAGAACGGAGTGAAGAGCAATGGAAATGCAAAGTCACCGACTTTGGTAGAAAAGCATGAGGTATAGTTTCGTATAGAGGCCTCCTTGTTCTTTCTCGTGAGTATATGCTTGCCTGGGCAGTATTTGTTTCTTGTAAGTACTGTCTTTCTTCCCGCGTGACTGTGCAGTAAGTCTAAAACGGAAGCCCCAATTTATCTGCGCTTTTCTGCTGATAGTGTTTCTGCTTTTCCGATAAGTTTCTTACCTGGCTTGTGTTTCTATTTTCCCTGCTCCTTTCAAATGGGAAGTTGGAGACAGAGGAAGTAGATGTTAAGAATGAGGAGCCTTCATTTTTATCGAGGTCAATGGAAGAAGAGGAAAAACAGCTTTTGGAAACTCGAATTAAGGAAGAGGAATCCAAACATGAGCCACAGGAAACACCAAAGCTTAATGAAAGTCAGTTTAGCAAGTTGGATGAGCTTTTAACACAGACCCAACTTTACTCGGAATTTCTACTGGAGAAAATGGATGACATCACACTTGTATTTCCTCGTGCTTTTATTGTCTCAACTTTCTATGCATTCCTATTTATTTCTTCTTCTTGCAGAATCTTATATTTGAATTTTGATTCCTAGAATGGGGGTGAACAAGAGGATGAGACGGTTGAGAAAAAGACGGGCCGTGGCTCAAAAAGAAAAGCAAAATCAGAATATAATAATGTGAGTTCCATATGTTTACTTTTTTTTTTCCCCTTTCTTTTAACTTAGTGTGTCAGGGAAAATCAAATCTTCTCTTGCTGATACCTTTCCAAGAAAGTGTGAGAAGCACCGGTTATTGCCTTTTGCTTCTGTATATAGATTAAGCATGCTCTTGTAGTTTTGTACATTATCTTATTCCATTTGATTATTTTTGTACCTAGTTTGATGTTGCAACCAATTATGTTACCATGTTTGAAATTATTTCAGAAGAAAGCCAAAAGAGCAGTAGCTGCCATGCTTACAAGATCTAAAGAAAGTGAGGGAGCTGAAGATATGAGCCTGACAGAAGAGGAAAGAATTGATAAGGAGCAGAAAGAGCTTATACCTCTCTTGACAGGTGGAAAGTTGAAGCAATATCAAATGAAGGGTGTCAAATGGTTGATCTCATTGTGGCAAAACGGGCTTAATGGGATTTTGGCTGATCAAATGGGTCTTGGGAAGACAATTCAAACTATTGGTTTTCTTGCACATCTGAAAGGGAAAGGTTTGGATGGCCCATATTTGATAATTGCTCCTCTATCAACCCTTTCTAATTGGATGAATGAAATTTCCCGGTAAACATTTTATAGAATTTGTCTTCCATGCAATTGGAATTTGTCATGGTTTTATATTGTAACCTAATATCTTCAATGCATGCACATAGGTTTGCTCCAATACTTACTACTATTATTTACCATGGTGACAAGAAGGAAAGAGATGAGATCCGAAGGAAGCATATGCCCAGAACAATTGGCCCAAAATTTCCCATAGTCATAACTTCCTATGAAGTTGCGTTAAATGATGCTAAGAGATATCTCAAGTTCTACCATTGGAAATATGTTGTAATTGATGAGGTAAAGAGCTTTTCTTTTTAGTTGCATCTTATCAACAAGAATTCATTTGATATTTCAAATGGATTTGGTTATGGTGTGCTAACCAACTGGATTTTTTTTAATGAAGGGACACAGGCTCAAAAATTCAAAGTGCAAATTAGTCCAGATGTTGAAATTCTTACCAGTTGAAAATAAACTTCTTTTAACTGGGACACCTCTTCAGAATAACTTGGCTGAGCTATGGTCATTGTTGAACTTCATTTTACCTGACATTTTCTCATCCCTTGAAGAATTTGAGTCATGGTTAGTTTGCCTTGCTTATTTGTCATTTCAGTTCATTACATGTTTTCTTGTTTCTTTAAGTTTCTGTATTGAGGGGAAGCAATTTGGAGCAATTGCATAGCATTTAATGGAAGTTTGGCCAGTTTTCCAATGGTACCTATATTTATACAACAGAATTTGCCAGTTAATTTAGTCTTCCTTTCTGGTATTTTTGAAGAAATGTTATGTTGCTTTTTTCATTTGATTGTATGGCCCATTTGATGGCTTTCTTGTAAATCCTGTGGTGCTTCCACTTTTACATTTTTCCAATGGCAAGTGGTTTTATCAAATCTCTATCATGCAAGGTCTGGTTGGTTCTCCATTTTTACATATGACTGTTGTTTTATATTTTTTGGAAGTAGAAATGATTGCTTATTTGCATTTGGCAATATTGGTTTCAGTTTATTCAATTGCAGCTAGAAACATCACATGTTAACCTGGAATTTACTTTCTTAATCTAATCAAATTTCTTTATAGGTTCAATCTGTCAGGAAAGTGCAGTACTGGAGCAACAAAAGAAGAATTAGAAGAAGGAAGAAGAGCTCAGGTATACGGTAATAAGACAGCTTCTGTATGATTTACCTTTGCATTTTTGAACCGGAAGGCTTAAGATTTTTATCACATGTAGGTGGTAGCTAAGCTCCATGCCATTCTGCGCCCCTTTCTTCTCCGTAGGATGAAGAGTGATGTTGAGCAGATGTTGCCGCGAAAAAAAGAGATAATAATATATGCCAGTATGACTGAACATCAGAAGAATTTTCAGGAACATTTAATTAACAAGACATTGGAGAAATATCTCCGTGAAAAATCTGCAGTGGGTGAGATTTGTTTTCATTATTCCAATCAAGAAGAAAGATATCTCTTCATATAATTTTCCTGTGCTCCAATTATGTATATTTTTCTAAAAAGAATAAGAAACTCTGTATTTTTCCTTACTGCTTAGGAATTATGCAATACAGTGATTTTATGTTTTTTGGCATATATACATATAATGTCTATCTTGCGACTGGCAGTTAAAAATTGGATTATGAAAACTATTAAATCAATTTTGTATTATGTCGCCCTGTTGCAGGACGTGCTTCAAAAAATATTCGTA